GCAACGAAGATGTTAAACAAGACCGGTCCCAACACCAGTCCCTGAGGGACACCACTTGTTACTGGTCTCCAGCTGGACATTGAGCCATTGACCACAACTCTTTGTGTGCGGCCCTCCGGCCAGTTCTTTATCCCCCGAGTGGTCCATTCATCAAATTGATGTCTCTCCAATTTAGAGACAAGGATGTCGTGTGGGACAGTGTCGAATGCTTTACACAAATCCAGGTAGATGACATCAACTGCTCGACTGATATCAATCAGTTCTGTATGTTGCTATAAGAACCAATGGTGTTTTCTTTCATCATAAAATAAAACTGAATAGCAAAAATATTTGTTTAGCTATCTCAACCAATTTGGTTTAATGTACCTTGCATGCATGTGTGTATGTATATATGTGCAGAAAGATAAATTTAGGTGTATATATACATCTATACAATATCTTGTTTCTATTATTACAATATCTTAAATAGAATATAGAAGATTGTTCTGAAATAATTACCTTTTAGCTAAAAATATGAGGAACACATTTTGGTGGTTCTAACAAGGAAACAAGTCATTTGGAAAACTTTATCTATGATAATATATTCTTTGACATTAAGCATTTACTTTGTGCAGGCAACACACTTCTATTTTTAATATAAAATGAAGGGGTTTTTTAAGATTTTGAATCATTCTAATAAGAATTTGCATATTTGGCCCATTTTTGAAAAAATAACCAGTCTGATAATGTACGGTTAGGTGCAACATAAACTGTAGCTCTTATGGTGCAGTCTCTGAATTGTAGCAATGGCAACTGAAATTTAATTTCAGGGAAGTATTGATTTTTTCTTACTTTTTACTATAAACTGGTAAAGTGTGTGTCTTTTAATGGGCAGCAGTAAGCATGAAAGAAATCTTAGATGTTCCTAAACACCACGATTTAAGCATACACAGTCAGATCAGAGAGAAAAAAAAACAAACTAATCCTTACTAATTTCATCTGAGTTTATTCCAGGCCTGAAATTTCCAGTCTAGCCCAGTCTCTGTTGCTAAGGTAGGACCTAGCACCTGGTAATTCTTTTCTTATAGCCAGCAACACATCCCTATTGAGGTACCCACACGCTCAAGGGCAAGGTCAAACAAAGATGAGTATATTGGAAGCATTCTGCACTCGCTGTTCAAGAGAGCATATGCCTTGACAGGGGTCTGCTGTGCAATAGAAACTCTCAAAGCCTGAGGGGAGGAAGAAAAATAAAAGAAATCCAAAATCATTTATCTATACTCTTCCTTTATATTCTTTTTATTTATATTTTCCTTAATCTCTGCCTATTTCCCCCTTTTTCTGAGAAGTGTTCACTCCCAACAGAACATGTAACACATGAGTGTTGGAGAAACCTGGATTTGTTTTTCAAATTAATCTTGTGAGGATAAGTAATTGCTGCAAAGCAAATCATTATTAATTGATCTGTACCATACCACATGTTTTGGTACTTTGTAGCTCTCTTGTTCTTTTGTTCTGCACCTACAGTTTAGTGTTGGAAGGTCTCAACACCTACACCTTTTAATTTTGCTGTGAAATGTTCTGCAACTTCACTTTTTCTGTTATCGCTTTGTGTTTTGCAGGCACCGTATTGATTTAATTTACAAGCATTCCAATTTTCTATAGCTACACTTCTTCATTTTGCATCCTTTTTATATGAATACTTCTAAATCTCTAGAAAATTGAAATGCCACACTAGTAATACCTGCTTCTACTTAATATGTCAAAAATGTAGTTTTATAACTGAGCATAAAATAGACATTCAGATTATTGACATTTAGCTGTAAAGAATATGAGATTGCCATTATTTACAAGTGGTTTATTACTTTCTTGTATGAATAGGTATAAAGAACTTTGTTAATTATATGCTGTATGAGTGCAAAAAAAGCCTCTACTTATACATTTTAAATGCTCCTTTTTCTATATAATTACCTTTAAAGTAAGATGAGCATTGCTGTATTGCATTAAATTTATACTCTGATATGTTCTCTGAATGCGCTATAAATGCAGAGGTTCTTTCTTTCTTAATAGAATTTCACTTTTCCCGTCTAGAGTTTCAATATTTCAGAGGTCTTTTCATTTGATTATACATGCAAATCACTTGGGAAACCTAATACACTTATCTAAAAATTACTCATTCCCATATAACGAATTTAACAATCCCATCTGCAGTGAATAAGACTTTCAAAACTGTTTTCAGTTCCTCTGCAGAATTGTTCTTTTCTCTTGAATACAGATCCTGCCACCCAGCCAAACTGTAAGTGGTGTACTCTAAGGTCACAGGCAGATTAATGTTTATGTAAAATACAAAGTTTAAGGCACCTCTGAATATTATGCTTCCCGGTTTGGGGGAGTCATGCTTATGGGGTTGATTCCTATGCATGACTGACTTATATTAAGCTGGAAAAAGCACTTCCAGGAAAATATTACTGTTGAGTTGTCAGGTAGTCATAGCTATGCCCCTCCATTCTGCCTCTGTTAAAAGAGACTTTGAGATCAGATGCTGCCAGTTTCCCTTTTGTAGCAAGATGCCCAGACAAGGCAGGCAGCACATGCAGGCAACAAGAAGTGTGACACTCAGCAGCTACTGGAAATGTCACCAGTTTAGTAAGAAAGGCAACCTTCCGGTATAATGCGGGGGGGGGGGGGGGTGGAAAAGCACTAAGTAATTTCATTACAATTTTGGGGGAATTAATACAGTTTCAAAGTAAAAGTAGCAAGTATTATTCTTACACAGTTATCTTATTCTTACCAGTGTTTGTTAACCAGACATATGTAGACTCTTTTGCCACATGTATTTTGAGAAATATTTTCTGTCCCTAGTATTAGCGAACTTACATGCTGTGTAAGATACACCACAGAGGGAGCAGAACTGTCTCACAAACCAATGAAAGCCAAGCTGTGACCATGGGTAAATACAGTTAAGGTCCGCAAAACCTGGTACAGAAAACTAGAAGCAAAGTGCAAAAGAATAAAATACATAAACTAATAGAATCGTAGAATATTTCCCACAAGAGTACCACAGAAGCAGAAAAGCATTTCAAGGGAGTATAGTCTAATAGAAATGTAGATTTAAGCAGGTAATATGCCTAAGGCAAAAATCTGAAGCTACCTCCAGACTGCAAAAGGGGTAAGAATGGCTAGATCTAAAAAGCCTGGAGTAGGAAATTGTTTGGTACTCAAAATGTGGGAAAACAGAAAAAATAATGTCCAGTTGACATTCCTATGTGGAATTTTTCTGTGCGTGTCAGGTAGTATGGCATTATTCTTAAATTCCATCGCTTTTAGAGTCCTCAGATCATGTGAGGTATCTTTTGCTTTTTTTTTATTTTTTCTTTGGAAAAAGAGTTTCCAAATATTATCTGATGAATAAAATGTCTTAACATATTTTTAAAGCAAATTATATGAGACACAAGGGATTAAAAACAAAAAGGAAATAAATAGCAAAACCAAATATTTTATTTATATAGATAGATATGTCACATATAGTTGTACTTCATTATTTTAAGAAATTTTATTTATCTGTCATGATTCATAATTTTGGAAAAGACTAGTTGATCACACTGACGTTTTAAAGTCAACAGGATAACTTACATCTTAGTGTATGTGTCTCATATACAAACACTACTACAAAATTCTAAGAAGTGTGCATTCTTGCCTTCAGGAAAGATATATATGTATAAAAGAAATACCATGAGTATCAAAAATAGAATTAATCCATTAACAGGATAATGATGAAAAGTTTAAGTGCAGGACAGGAAAGAGAAAAGGGGAAGGAACAGTAATCAGTTCTTAGGACTCCTTGTGATGCCACTGAACTGTGTACTCAGAATATTGTTTTGGCAGTCTGTATTTCCCTAGTTACTCCAAAACCAAACTTTCCTTATTGACAGAAAGTTTTAAACAGATATACTTGGATACCTCTATATATGCTGTTTACTGGTTCTGCATTCTCTGTAGTAGGTCTCAAACATAATGAAGCCACAGTATATGGAATTAGATGCTACATGCCTCCAGGCTCAAGCTACCATCTTAACTACTGCTTTATTCTTTCTCCAGGATTTTTTTCCCCTCACATTATATTACATGCAAATAGCACAATTGTTGTCAAATATGTTGTATTCAGTAAATTTTTAGAATGTAGATTAGTCATATTTGTCTCTGGAAAATAATTAAGCCTTACTCAGGGAAAACCAAAGCCAGTGGAAGTGACTTAGAAGTGTTCAACAAAATTATCAACAAGATAATACATACATATTCTAATCTATTATGAATATGTATGTATTCTATAGGAGAACATAGTCACTTTTATCAGAAAGCCTCATGGAAAGACAAATGTTTTTTTAAATAATTTGGAAAATTACCACCTTCAGACAACAGCCCAGTCTCTGGTCTCCAAGGGCCTACCAGCTGGTACCAGATTTCCTTCATTCAGCTCCTTTATCTCTTACAAAAAGCACATGAAACATTATTTATTTTCCTTTTTTACAGATAGCTGTAGACTTTCCTTTATGATAGACTGAGGTTCATGTTCAATGGGTCTGTAAGTGCATGCATTATACCCTCTATAAACATGCCATGTGACTTACCCCTAAAAACACAGACTAGTTTGTCTTCAAAGTCCATATAAAGAGTATTGACTCCTCTGATTTTTTAACCCTCTGTATATAGTGCTGCATGGAAGGGTTTGTGGTCTTAAATATTTGTTTATTATGAATTGTGGTATTCTCTTCTGAGACGCCTAACTCTTCCCTCCCATTCTTTTTATAAAAATCTAGCTGGTCAATGATACATATCTTCAGGCAAACAAGCCTTACTTCCTGTGCTTGATTTCGTGTCTTCAAGGTACTTGAACTGCTCAGTGTGCCTAAAAGATAACAGAATCATTTTGGCAAAATGTCCCTGTCTGACACTGTGATTATTTATTTATTATTTTTTAGAATCCTGTGTGCAGGAGATGGAGGAGTTGCTTCAACAACCACCTCTAGACAAAGACTGTGATTCCCAGGAATGATCCCATGTTTGTCACCTTCAGATCCAATTGCAACATCCATATTCTTGCAGTTTATTTCCCCAGAATCATTGTAGAGTGACCTTACAGGTGTATGTGTGATTTGTAAAGAAAAAAAAAAAAAAAAAAAAAAGCTAAGAGAAAAAGAAAAATGAAAAATTGCAATGCACACAATAACTTCCCTTGGAGAAAGACAAGCAAGCACGAGAATCAGACTAGACTGGACTACCCCTTCTATTCTAAAAGCAAGCCTAGAGCCCAAAGCCAGTGACCCTGCTTTCAGTAAGAGTTGGTGTCAGCAAGTTCAGCCTGGTTCAATAGCAAGTTATGTCCTTTTGATAAGCTAAAAACCTAAATTATATTACCATTAATGATACTAAGAAAAACAACCCCTATACCATGACCTGTGACAGCATTGGACAAGGAGTTGATTTTCTCTCAGAGAAGGATCAGTGTGAACTGAATAGAAAATTACCCCTGTTCCACACTTCAACAAACTTCAACAGTAGCTCTTCTTTTGCCTAAAGAACCCTAAGACACACTACCCTCTTCCGATTTTTATGAAAGTTGTTTTTAACTTTTTTGAAGTGAAATAAAAGATTTGTTCCATTTCCTTCCAAAGAGTTAAGATGAAGTGGCTCTACTATGTCTAGATAGCTAACTTTACTTTCTGAAAAAAAAGGTCTCTTAAATGAATGGAGTAAAAATACAGCTCAAAATAGAAAAGTGATTGCAATTGTAACTATGTAGAAACTATCGGTCAGTATTAGACTCTCTGGTGTAGAGCTATCACCTGAGAAAGTGCATGTTTTCCCCAAGGAAAAGATTGTGCTCATTTACTTACCTGCCAATTTTTTCAGTGTTCTTTCTTGCATACTTTTTAAAAAAGTTCTGATGTTATCAAAAATTAATGTTTTACATTATGAAATAATTCATTGCAGTTGTTGATTTCCCATTATCATGTGGTTTTTAGTGTGGGGTTATTTTTCTTTTTAAGTCGAAAAAAGTTATTTCTTGGTGACATCTTGATAGGAAAAAAGGGACTGTTAATGGGTGAATGAATGTCACTTGGTTGAGGGTAAAACAAATGATCCAATCATTTCTAACAGGACTACTTTCTGTTCTGAGAAAGTGCTAACAGAACTAAATAGGGATGATCAGAAAAATGAAAGAAGAGTACATACTGGATACTTTCGACTTGCCTACAGCACATTGTACTTCTGAATTTATGGCAATTTGTGATAAGCTAGGATCCCTTCATATTTAAAAAAAAAAAAAAAAAAAAAAAGAAGTTAAATTTATCAGTATATTCTAGAAGATACACTGGAAATTTCAACAACTGAACTGCAGTCAAAAAGAAATATAGAAAAGCTGTTGATATTAGAGGAAATAGTTCTATAAAAGGCAGAGAAATAGATATACTGAAAGTGTTCAGGACAGAAAAAAAGTTTGATAGTATGTGAGCACCTACAAAATGAAAATCAGATATTCTAATAGGAAAGAGATAAAATAATAGAGGGGTAAAGGAAATTTAGAAAAAAAAACCAAACTGCAGTTATGTTTAAAGAACTCATAATAAACAATGCAAGTACAAAGATTTCACACTTATAATCAATTATGCAATAGAAGGTTTAAAATATTTTATTAATACTTTATTTGTATGGTTGTGTTTTGTTTATAGCATAAGATTGCTCACCTCTGCCTATTTGTGAGTAGGAGTCTTAAAGGATAATAAAGGATAATAGACTATACTGAGTTTAACGTACTTCTAGGACACTTGTGCAGGCAGCCACACTTCCTTCCACTCCTATGCTCCAGCTCACCATATGTGATCTATATTGGTAGCCACATTATTTTGTACAAGAAAGTGACCCTGTTCAGGCCAAGGTAGCTGAACCATCTTTGTATTCCAGTCTTAGTGGTCACTAAGCTAACATGGAAAACTGTTGTCACTCAGATGCTCATACTGTCTCTACAGACTTTCCCAAGGTAGACAGTGAAAGTGTCTTTGGTCCCACTTTTCCAGTTGATGAATATGCCTATAGGGATGCTGGGGATGGACTCTTCATTAGGGACTGTAGTGATAGGACAAGGGGTAATGGGTTAAAACTTAAAGGGGAAGTTTAGATTGGATATAAGGAGGAAATCCTTTCCTGTTAGGGTGGTGAGGCACTGGAATGGGCTGCCCAAGGAGGTTGTGAATGCTCCATCCCTGGCAGTGTTCAAGGCCAGGTTGGACGAGGCCTTGGGTGATATGGTTTAGAGTGAGGTGTCCCTGCCCATGGCAGGGGGGTTGGAACTTGATGATCTTAAGGTCCTTTCCAACCCTAACTATTCTATGATTCTATGATTCTCTGTACTGCCTATCAAACTCATGTTTTATGCCTACACGGTACCAAACAGTTTTATGATCAGTTTTCTACAGAGTTGTTGTAAAATGTATCCTGAGTTAATAAATCAATACAAAGTATCTAGTTTAAAGAGGAAATTTGAGGAGCACAAATGTAGTAGTTACATTCAGTAGTAACAAAGTGTAAGAACTAAGATGCTTATGCAACTTTCAGTAGGTGTCCTTGTGACTAAGTTTTGATACTATCATTAATTAGAAAATCACATTTATTGTTTCAGGAGATGCTTGTCTGACCAATACATAGGACAGATAAATCAGTAAGACATCATTATCTATAAAAGACTTTTCACTTGGGGACTGTAGCTCAGTTAACTGAAGGAAGAGTGGAATGACAAAGGAGCTATCTATAAGGAACTATGAGCTATCACCACTAAATATTGGTACAGAAAATTGTAATATCCCTTCCCTCCAGGCTCAGGAAACAGAAGAATCATACCTTCTCATGTCCTTTGTATGTATGGATAGTCTTTTACTACACCTTTTAATGAACTAATATATACAAAGGATATCTGCACTGTGCAATGCTGTTTGACACAAAGATATACCTTGGGTTCTGAAAGCTCCACATTATCACAGACCATGATAACACTCAGCATATGATTGCTCTTGCTTTCATAGGCTGGCTGCCTTTCCTAGGCTAGTAAGTTCCCTACAAGCTTGCATGTCTTCTTGCGCTAAAGAGATTTGTTGCGCAAAAAAGGTGTAGAAGAATGTTCACCGTCCCTATGGCTACAGCGTACGAACGGGAAGTGATGGTGTCCCTCAGGCTTCAGTGCTGTGGAGTATTTCAGCCAATATTTCTAAAACAAAACCAAGCTTTCATTTACAACATTTCATTGTTAAAATTTCCTTTTTTTTTTTTTTTAATTAAAATATTACAGCTTGAATGCTGTTTAGAACAATAAAAACTCAAAGGAAAACATACTTAAATGTTAAGAAATTGTAGGATTAAGGATTACATTTTTCTTTGTAAGTATTGCTGTACTTTGGTAATATATTTTAATATAAATCACTTGAAAAACTGTCCACTGTAAAACTAATGGATTTAATTACAAATAATACTGTTCTGACCTTTCTCCATCTAAATGCAGACATTTCACGCTCTAGCAAATGCGTTTTTAAAATTCACTGATGACATATTGTTATTAATAGACAAAAGACCATTGATGATATCCACAGATTTAAAGCTTTTGATTTAATAATCAAGTTCCCTTGATTAAAGAAACTGCTATTCTTTGGTCAATTATTCCTGCTATTATCTTGGGTTGATTTTCGTGGGCTATTGTAAAAATGTTCAAGAGACAAATTTTCATAATACTGGTACATTTGTGTGTTATTTGAAAATGTTGATTGACCCTTATTTGTGCTGGAAAAACAAATCATTTAATAAAGAACAGTGCTCTGAACTGAATACAGAGGCCTGGGAATCTCTCTTCCGCCATAGATCAGTTTGGCAGAACAGATCTATACAATCCTACGTTTCAGCAGAGGTTAATGGTACCTTGGGGTTGCTGTAAATGATGCCAAGTAAATACATTTCTGAAAGAACTATATGATGGCTGAACATTGTTGTGCACTATTTGTACTAACAGCATGACATCTGTGCTACTACTGATTGGCACGGGTCTGTCAGAAAACAGCTTGAGCTTTGTCTCAGGAAAAGGTCTTTATACTTGGACTAGGCACTACACAGGAACCCCTGGATGTGCCTGTACCTCCCAAAGCTCTTAATGCAGCAGCCTAGTGCACCTGAAAGGAAAAGATTTTACCCTCTCTGTATAGCAGCTCAGCTGGGTCCTTCAGGACTAAGAGGCCTTATTTGAAGAAATTTTTAATCCTGTGCTGGCCTGTTAGGGTCACCTATGCGATGCCAAAGGAGCTGTGTGCTTGATCAAGCTTACAAGTTCTCTTTATTACCTTAAATACCAGAAGCCAAAACAAAATGCTATAAAAAAAAAACTACCATGTTTGTGGATTTCAGAAAATTTCTAAAAACCACCCATGAGATTTTGTCCCTTCTAAGACAGTGACAAAAATCCAAATCACATCAATGAAGACACCAGCTTTTCTGCAACTAGTTATGTGACTATGCCAAACAACCTACAGGTTGTAAACCCCAGTAGAAAGTTACATTTGCATCCTACCTCTTTACATGAGCTTATTTTCCAGTGAAATCTCTGACTATGCAAATACATTGTTTTTGCTTTAAAAAGCTCAGTAAGACTTTACAAGCTTACTCACTTAGTCTTACTGAGTTCAACTATATCTGATTCAAAGTCTTGTTCTTCCTGTTATGGACTGACACTCTTCTTCACTTCATGTATCTTGAGAACACCTCTGATCAAGTGAGTTTAGTCATGTGGATTTATTTAATATACTCCATATTTAGAAACCTGCAGCTTTATTTTTGCTGAGCTTGTTCCTACATCCTGCAACTGACCCTACACCCTTCCAAAGAGAAATTATTTACTTTCAGTTATGTTAAATATGATCTATAATTATAATGCTACATTAAAGGAGATATCTATACATACACAAGGTGGGTGAGCGCGTAGATGGGGAGGCGGGGGGAGGTGAGGTATACGGCCTTTGTCTTTGACAAAGATTCCTGAAGTAGTTGTGTTCTTGCAAATTTCCCTTGGACATAATCACACCACTTCAGGACATAACAGACACTGGCTATAATA